GACACCCACGATTTCATGTAGAATTCCTGAGCTGACACCCACGATTTCATGTAGAATTCCTGCGCTGACACCCACGATTTCATGTAGAACTCCTGAGCTGACACCCACGATTTCATGTAGAATTCCTGAGCTGACACCCACGATTCCTTCACATTAAACAAATTTAAAGTCTTTTTACAAGAGCGAGAGAGAGAGAGAGAGAGAGAGAGAGAGAGGGGGGGGGGTATATATATATATATATATATATATATATATATATATAGAGAGAGAGAGAGAGAGAGAGAGAGAGAGAGAGAGAGAGAGAGAGAGAGAGAGAGAGAGTCAGTGTGTGCACATATTTGCAAACAGTGACAGCTTGGGATGGACGATAGGTGATACAGATTCAGAGCGTGATAGGCCAGTTTACATTTCAGAAGTTGGAAATTATTTTGTGTAATAAATCACTTTCCCTGGATGTCACAAAGATAGGTACTAAAATAGTATGTAGTATCTGTTTTGACATATGAGAGTAGGTGTTGAAATCTAAAGGAGAAACTCATTAAGGGCTTGGGGTCAATGTATGTGTGGTTTGGGAGAAATTACGCGAATACTAGGGCAGTCAGAGTCACCAACAATAATGGCCGGAACAGGGCTCATGAAATTGATCAGTACATGCAACTATGAGAAACTAACTATTATAGGCAGCTGTGAGAAATTGACTATTATAAACAACTATGAGAAATGTACCATTTTACGCACATATAACAATTTCGCTATTATACACAACAAAAATAAATTCGCTATTATACGCAACTATGAGAAATTGACTTTTGTACCCACTATGAGATATTGACTATTATACGCAGTTATGAGAAACTCACTAGTAGAGGCAACTATGGCAAGAGAAGACCTGTTAAATGGTCATGTGTTGGGAAGAAAGATATTAATGGCTGAAATAGTCAGTCTGTCATGCAATCAGTGAATCAACAGAGCATCGCTCTCTACACGGCACGCCTGAACGTTGCTCTTTCTCTAGCCACTTCTCCAGCTCTGCGCGCTTTGATAGCCAATGCTATAGCCGTGTGTCTCTGTGTCTCTCTCTCTCTGTCCTAGTTGCACTGTAGATTTAACACACACTAAACTCTATAACAGTAAATGTTCCCTTATATAGAATGTACTATGGCATAAATTTGCTTTTCTCTGACAACTTTAGCCATTTGTGTTTAATGACACTTTTCTTCAGTAAGTCACTTGTCTTTCACGTGGGAGTGTTGAACCGTTCACATGCGAAAAATGGACGTGAACTTAGAAATACATTACTCACGTCAAAAAATATAAAAGGTGCTTGGCTGATCTATTTATTTATTATTTTTATTTTCACTTTTGAAAACACCAGATGGTGAAAGAAAATGTCTGAACGGTGTCCCAGAACTATCGGTGCTGTTTTGTGGGGGTTATCTGAGAGAGTGATGATTTCTGGCCAGCCACCGGTTGTGGGTCCAGGAATGACCATCTATGCCTTTAGTGTTATAAGGGCCTCTTATGTCTGGCTGGACGGATACTGGCACTTTCGAAGGTTATTTTTGGTGGTACATCAGAGCGGCAGTTGGTAACAACGCCCACCCTACAAACTGTGGGTCATGTGTTCAATTCTCAGTAGGGCATTGAGAATATTGTTGTGACTGGCTGACGAGGCAGTTTTAGCCTGTTTCTAAAAATGTTGGGTTCGCTGCAACGACGAAACAAAACTCTGGCAGGTTCGAGAACAATATAAAAATTGTGTCTGGTGCTAGAACGCTCTCTTGGCCATTTGGTTTGTATGTCGGCGGTGTGCGATCAGTAAGAGGTAGCTCCAACCATTTGTCACGTGACAACAAATGGTCTTATCGCGACACGAATGGGGATACTGTGTCAAGAGAGATGAATCGGCTTATTTATCTCACTGTTTTGGTACGTTACGATAGCTAGACGATGTTAGATCTAAATTCATTCAAGTAGTTAGACTATGTTCAATCTAGATATCAGTATGTACCATACTCGAAGATATTTGGTTTCAGGTGGCTGGAAGTGAACTTTTATCTTTGTAACCCGAGGTGCTTAGCACATGGTCTGTTTGGGCACGGTGTTGACTGTTAATATATTGTATTCTGTGAAGCCCGTTATTTTTGTGTTCAGGAAAATAAACAGATGGTCACGGTGATGATTATTGTTACAGTTGTTTTGATTCGGAATAGGACTTGAAGTCTGTGTGCCTAGTTTTACTTTTTACTGCTAATTAGACTTCATGTAGAATATCCCCTGTCAGGGCTAGGAAAGAGTAGGTCTTAGTCTCCGCCTAATATCTGATATTTTTTTTTTTTTACTAAAGCAGCGTGGGTGCGTTTTTCGGCTTCCATTTAAAACAAAATTTTTTTTATTTTAGCTCTTATAGGCTTGTGGTAGAGAAAGGTTCAAGAAGTAGATTTATCTGATCCGTAATATTGTGACTCTCCTTCCTTTAGGCAACAGTTTTAGTACATTTTTGAAAACAAAAATTATTTATGCCAGTACAATCTGTAACCTACCTTGACCCCCAAACCCACCCCCACTTCTTTCCACTCCTAGATTTAATGATGGGTTCTGGCAACGACGAAATGCCCTATATCCGTGTAGGAAACATCACCAGCCCGGCTCTGACCTACCTTAGTTGTTATGACACGGTCTGAGTGATGACCTATTGTCATCAGTCCACGCCACTACGTAGAAATGAAGTTCCCAGTGTGCACACCCTGCTTGTTTCCTAGGTTGAGGTAGGGAAAATCGACTCGAATTTTTATTCTCGCTATGTTATTTCAGATGATCGATGGAAACCGTTTTAGGACTCAAATAGTATAAATGACAACACTTTGGGCTTGAGGGTAAATACTCAGTCTCTCAGACAAAAACTCGTGTAAGCAATTAACACACCATGGCAACGGAATGCGTTCAGTTTCTCAGTCTCAGCAACAACTCTCTCGTCCCACAACAACGATGGTAGGGATGTATGATGTCAACCAACGTACATGGTCGCACTGGGTGCATTTTCAAAATTGAGTTGTGTTGTCATGAAAACACACAAACACAAGTTAACTCTTTCAGTATCAAACCGTGTTCACCTTACCTGATTATATTGTAATAAATTGTGACATTGAATTATAAATCTTTGAATTTATGGGGAAAATATAATAATGTTACAGATCAGAAGGGGTCAGAGTAACACTCATGTTAAAGTTGCATAATTTAACAATTATTTAGATTGCAAGGAGTTCAGGACAGTAACATTTATGTATAATTGTATAATGTAACATTTATGTATAGTTGTATAATGTAACATTTATGTATAGTTGTATAATGTAACATTTATGTATAGTTGTTTAATGTAACATTTATGTATAGTTGTATAATGTAACATTTGTGTATAGTTGTATAATATAACATTTATGTATAGTTGTATAATGTAACAATTATCTATAGTTGTATAATGTAACATTTATGTTTAGTTGTATAATGTGACATTTGTGTATAGTTGTATAATGTAACATTTATGTATAGTTGTATAATGTAACAATTATCTATAGTTGTATAATGTAACATTTATGTTTAGTTGTAAAATGTAACATTTGTGTATTTTTTTCACATTTGTTTGGATATAATGTATAATGTAACATTTATGTATAGTTGTATAATGTAACAATTATCTATAGTTGTATAATGTAACATTTATGTATAGTTGTATAATGTAACATTTATATATAGTTGTATAATGTAACATTTATGTATAGTTGTATAATGTAACAATTAAATGGGTCACAAAAAGTTCAGAAAAAAAAAAAACAGAGTCGCCGCGTGAGTTACAAAACACAGAGTTCATACTAGAGACAACATTGCAGATAAAGCTTATCTATTTCAAGCTAACGAAAAGGGAGAGAAGAAGAAGTTCAGAAAAGTAACACTTTAGGTAGAGTTGCACAATTATTATTATGAGTATTATTATTTCCGGCATGATGTTGACCATATGATACATTCAGTGCAGATTGATCTGTAAAATATAGGTCCAGCCCTATATGCCCAATACATCTGAAGGCGTGGATAATGGTCCCTTAATATTGTTATTATTATTAAATGTTAAATGACAAGTAGATATGCAATAATGTATTTGATATAATTTACAATGCATAAACAAATACAGTTTTTTTTTACAAAACTAATCTGCATGGTTCGTGGGGGGTGGGACACTTGGCCTTCTTACAAACTGTGGTGGCCCTAACAATTATTGGAATAATGCAGTTGCCTAATCCCATAAGTTTTGGCAAATCTATCATTTAATAAGATCGTCCGGTTCGAATGAGGTCAATCGACTTCATTCTCTGATATCATTAACCAGTTTGTCCCACCATACTTTCATCTGGTCTGCGTCGTGTGGTAGGGACGGGTACTCCAGGTATGTGTTGTTCTTGATATTGTACAAGAGATCTCTGCCGAGCTTCTGTCGAGGAATCTCTTCCATGATGAGGAACACCAACACCTGCCGGCCGCTGTACACTCCTTCCATCTTAGCCATTTCTACCTCGTACCGGCACCAATGGCTCTCCATCAAGAACCGTGTCAGGACAACAACTGTACGTCTACTGCGACTCACAGCCTCTACAATGTTTGAGGAGATCAGCTCACCAGCGGTAAAATCACGGCGATGCAGCAGCGTCTTCAGACCTCGCTCTGTTAAAGCCTTATCCAGAATATTCTCTACAAACTCCATGTCTTCTTCGGCATAACAAACAAAGCAATCGAACTCAAAATGATTCTCTGCTGGCTTAGTCGTGTTTTTGTATCTCAAATACGCAGCGTAATAAATGTATCGAATGTTCCAGCGAAATCTGAAGATAATTCCGCCGATGACAAAGACAACCATCAAGACACAGCAGCATCCGGAGATGAGAATTAGCAGAGCTACAGAGATGCACTGTTTGTTGAGCATGGAGATTGTGCCAGTGTAGCCGTCGATGATGATCTGGCCGGTCAGATCTCTGAACGAGCAGAAGTACTTCCTTGGTTCAATTCGAAAGGCGCCACAGGAAGTCATCCAGATCAGGAAACGGAGATTGATGCAGTCACAGTATATTTGAACGTAGCTGAGATCAACAGTTACATTGACACCCTTGTCTATCAAGTATGTGATGTGTTGTTGAGTCGTCACCGGCAGAGATGAGATGTGGGTTGAGGACAAGTTGAGCATCTTTAGGTTGTTCATGTGCGAGATCTGAACCTCAAAAGCAGTCAGCGGGTTTCTAGCCAAGAGCAGAGTTGTTAGATTTCTGAGCTCTAAAAACGCGTCAGGCCTGATGGCTTCTATGGCGTTGAAAGACAAATCCAAAATTTTTAAGTTAGTTAAATATGAGAACACTCTAACTGTCCGTTTCTGGGCAAATATCGATCCTAGCAGGTTGGAATGCAACATAAGGACTTCCAGAGTGGTCAGGTTTTGAAAAAACTTCTCCGAGATTTGGCTGACAAAACTGAAAGATAAGTCCAGATATTTCAAAGAGTGGAGGCCGTAAATAGGGCCATCCAGGTATGGGAACTGATTGCCCGATAAAGACAGGTTTTTCAAAGTGTTCTCTTCAGAGACGTTAAGTGTAGACAATATATATTTCAAGCCCGCGTTATTCATCTCTAGGTACTCTAAACGTGGAGGTAGTTTCAGGACAAATTCGAACTTATCTTTGGTGTATAGCGAACAGTTTGACACCGGATGATCATCCCTTCTTTCTTGTTTCAAGTAGTAGGGATAAAAACGAGGTAAATTGTACAACGACTGTTCGCCGCTTAACTTTAGAGATCTGAGCCTCTTTAGTTTTGGTAAGTATGAAAGATAAGCGCCAAAAACGAATCTGTTGCCGCTCAAGTTTAACTCTTCTACAGAAGCCAGCTTGTCGAGGACATACCTGTCAATTGCTTCCAGATTATTTTCTCGGGCGTCGAGGTAAACCAAGTTAGGGGGAAAGTTCTCCATGTATTTACTGTCCAGGCACACACTAAGAGAGTATCTGGTGCTGACAAGGTGCATGTGCAGATGGGACAGATTTCTGGCGTTTCTAAGTCCATAATAAATGAGATTAAGGTTGTTGATATCAATGTCTTCATTGTGGGATAGGTCGAGCCAGCGAAGGCTGGTCAGTTTCGAGAATGCTTCACGGTCTATCTGGTTACCATGAATCAAGCAGTCGGCGATGCTCAGATGTTCCAGGTATTTCACATTCTCAAAAGTGTCATTTCTGAGGCCCCTCATGCTACAGTTTCCAGTAGTGTACCCAGCAAGAGTCAAGTTTGTTAGTCTTCTCAGTTTCTGAAAGCCGGGTCCTAATGGTCCAGAGATATCCACATCGAGACCATCCATGTGTAGCTCCAGAAGGCTCGTCAGCCGAGACAAGGCAACATCTGGATACGCCAGTCCTGTCTTGGTCAGGTTAGGACTATTACTGCTGATGTTGAGATTTTGAAGCGATTTCAGCGACTCGAACACGTCGTCGGGATAAACTCCAGTCTTCATTTCCAGTTGGTTGTTGTGGAGATCCAAAGATATTAAACTCGAGAGGTTTTGAAATAACCCAAATTCACAATAATACTTTTCTAATATGGCGATATGCATGTCAAGGACTTGAAATGTTATTCGCTTCCTGGTTTTCTGTTGTTACCTAGGTAGACGGGTTTTTTTTTTTTTTTTAGTTAGTTCCCCCACCTAAATGAACAGATTCAGCATGAGCCTGAAGATGAAGGTAGCTTATCTTAATCAGGCACAACCAGATTGGGAAATTGTGGTTCTGGTGGCAATCTTCTTCAACCACCCTGCCTGCAGAATATTCATACACATGACCTCCCTGGCTGCTTTATCCTTCCGGCACGAAACTGGTCATCTGGGATGTGTATCTCACAGATTTCAGGCCCTGTTTAGTAGTATAAAACAGTTATATATGGAAACATCAAGGTTAAGAAATAACACATTGCCCTGTGGGTGGGATACGTGGGGATGGAGGTTTGTTCTGTCCCGTTTGTGTTGTTGCACAGCAAATTTCTTCTCTTCATGGAACTAACTTTCTATAACTGTCGTTTCTGACCGGCTACCGTTGTATTCACCGAGAAGTCACGTTCGACTGCACACCACACCAGACATTCCCAAGAAATGTAGTTGCCGCCAGACGAAGCGCACCCTAATCTTGTAAAATTGTAAAACAACTTGTTTCGGTTCTTAATTTATAACATACCACAAACACTAAATTCCCGTGGGAAATCCACAACTGACCTGACAGTCCATTATTTCAAAGGGTGCAAGTGTGCTGTTTGTGGTGCTGTTTTTGAGTGTTCATCTAGTGTATTCTAACCCTAATCCTAACCCTAACCCTAACCCTAACCCAAACTTTGGCTGTAGATAAATCGCGAGAAACTACAACCTTAAAACCCTAGAATTTATTGGGAATGTCTCCTGTGACGTAGTCGTGACGTCAGGGGTAAGTACCCTTGTTTCTAAAAAGTTGACGAGTCTGCTAACATAAAATATTCTCTCTATTGAATGTTGAATGTTGAATTAAAGAATCGACATCACAGTACTCGGGACCCCCCCCCCCCCCCCCCTTTACATAGCGCTCTGTCCCTATCTTCAGCAGTAAGTGAAGAGTTACAATTCCGATAGCACCAGTAACTGTCTTGGTGTATATCCGTCACGCCTTTTCACCTCAGTGTCGAGCGTCAGACAGATCCCCTTGTAACTCATCGCAGTGCCGTTCTAGTCAGACTGTAATACATCTTTCCTTGCCTCAGCACTGTTCACTCCCTCCCAAAAAGCCCTCGCTAGATCCGGTTTGTCAAACATCAGTTCACCAACAAGTGGTACAAAACCGGCCAGTCTATCTGCTCATTTCCCAACACACCTGCAACGCCTGGATAAATATTCATAGGAGGCTAACTACCCGGGAACTTTGAAGTTATTCTTGCCACTCTGCACACAGCATGCCTTTCTCCACCTCTCTCAACATGCTCTTGAGTCAGTTACAATGACGGCATGTGTGTACAATTTTTGATTCGCTCGGTCAAAATTGCTGTGCTTACCCTTTCTTCTCTTGCAAATGTCGCTTCTTCACAAATAAAATCAAAGCTACCTTCACTGTTAACACACTTTGGAAGCATCTCTACCGCAGGATTAACCCCCCAGTGATGAAATTACTTGTTCACATTTCAAAAGTTTGCTTTTTTTCTGACGATTGCACTTTTCTCTGGTAAACAATACCTTCCTCTGTTGGTTTCTAAGTCTGAATGGTGACAAGCAGTCAGTATTTTATATTGTGCAGTTGAAACAGACAGGTTCTAAGAATATCTTGGGTAAAGAAAAGAACAAATGCATCCATACTTCAAGAGCTGAATATTGAAGAGGGTTGGCTAGTAAAGACAATAAAACAAAGAAAATTGAAATATTTTGGTCACTTGAAACGTCATGGAGGTCTAGAGAGAACAATAATGGAGGGGTATATGCCTGGGAAGAGAGGAAGAGGAAGGCCAAGGAGAAGATGGGTGCAGGATGTGGCAGATGATCTCCAGATGGGTGCATCAGACGCAGGACATCTTGCTCATGATAGGAAGGTTTTCCGGAGGGTTGTTATGGCAGCGAGGTTCCGCGAGGGACATGCTACTGAATGAATGAATGAATGAGTTGAAACTACAGTTTTTAAATGCCAACATTCGTACTATTTACCGGCTGAGTAGTTTATATATGACCATCTTTGAATGTCCTCAACAAAAGCCAGTCAATACATTGTTGTGTCATGATCGTGTTCCGCAACCCAAAATTAATCAGGATTGATTGTTTTCATGTCAGTACTAGAAGCTTGTTGTCCAGTGAATTCAGAAGAATTATGTTTTGACACACATTTGTTTGTTGGTTAACTAAATTCGTTCAGGTCTGGCCCTTATTTTCAAACTGTTTGTCTTGTCACAAATGTTTGTGTAGAACTCATCGCCACCAAGGCGCACCTTCTACCCACGGTCTCACTTACATGCGTGTGCACACATACAGAAATATTTACAGGGGCGCCGTCACACAAAGATATAAATGAGGGTGGGGGGGGGGGAACTCAGCTTCTTATCACATTCTGAGATGGTGGAGTTCAAGAGGTTTCAGCCTTGTTTGTGTGCGCATAAAAGTAAAAATTATTATTGTTACAGTAGTTGTTGTTGATGATGGTGTTTGTTACTGCTTGACAGATTTAAAAAATAATAATAATAACTGACATAATGTAAAATACATAATCAGAAACTTAAAAATATAACGTCAATAATTTGTTGAAGGATGTATACTTAGCTCCTGCACACTGTTGTACATGGGGCTTCCTCGGCGCCTCCCCCCCCCCCAATCTTTTATGGGGGGTGGGGGGAACTACCACTCGCACTCAAAAAGTTTTTTTTAATGTGATGGAGGGTGAGGCACCTAAGTTGTGTGAGCTGCCAGTTTGCGACGCCTATGCCTACCTATTTGACATGATTTGCAAGGTACGGAGATTGTATGAAGGCAGAGTAGGGGCAACATAAGATGATGACGTTGATGGATGAAAGATTTGTTCCCCTGTCAGGAGTTGCATTCAAATCATGGCGCTTGCACAGAGACTCGTCACTCATTGTCTCCTGTCTGGAGAACATGGCGTGCACATCAGAAGTACAGGGGTACGGCCCTAATCCACGTCTTGTTTGAAGTTGTGACATCCAGGCCAACATCCACACCTACATCACGTGATATGGATCCGCATGTTTTGGGTGTCTAGCAACGAAACACAGATGCTGAGTTGTTCGAGTGCATAATTCTTGAAGACATGAGAAGACTCTGGAAGACGATGTCTTCAAATAATATAATGATAAAATATGTAGAAAACTGTAATTGTGGAATAGCAAAGTAAACGGACGTTTTTCGATTACAATGCATTGTTTTATTGTTCTAGACATCAATTGAGTAGAAGTTAGTTTTTCAAGTTTGGAATGTGTTTTCTCTTCTAGTATAATGTTTCTTTATATACTGTTAAAAGTGGATAACTCTGGTTCTAGATCCGTCAGTTGTCTGCTTTGGGCTAGTACCAAACTATACTTGAACTGAAAAATCTTAATCTGGACAGCAGACCAACAAAGCAGATAACAGATATCTGGTTCAACCTCAAAGGAAGTTATAATTAGAGTACCCGAAGAGACCACACCGCCAAGCGGAAGGTCACAAATGGTTCAAGAACGCTCGTTGTGTATCATTTCGTTCCTTTTTACTCCCGGCAGAGATATGATTTCTGATGATGATGTTCACTCATCTTTGAAAGGCTGGTAAAGTAAAAAAATCACGAAGCTATCTCTCCCCTTCTGATCCTAGGGCACTATCATTTAATAATCATATGGCGACACTTGTGGAGCTTGAATGATTTTCTTCTGGCTTCTTCCCTTACATGCGTACTTATCACTTCCTGGACGTCTATGGTGTCTCTTTCTGTGGGAACACTCCAATTTCTTGTATTCTTTGAAATCCGTAAAGATTTCTTATTTCGTTCTAAACCTGAAAATCATTTTTCATCAGGACAGTTTGTTTCTGGAGTACAGTGGTGTGTCTCCCCGTCTGCGTTCCGGGGACACGGAGGGGGAGGGGGGTTGGACCCACTGCCCTCTAACAAGTGTGTCGTAAAAGTCTAATAATTTAGGGGTGTTTATTTTAAAGTTCAGGAATCTCCCTGAGAGGTGAGGAATCAACAGTCTGTATGGAAATAAGCCAGATCTGTAAAACGTATGTGCATTCAAAACTCAGGTTCTGGAACAAGACCAAAGTCCAGAAGTGGGCGAACAACCAGAACTGGCCCATGGAACTTATAGGCGGCGGACTCTAAGAAGAAGAAGAGTTGTAAGTTTAGAGAGCTGTGTACACTTTCGAGTAAACAATTTTTTATAGCAACATTATGCAATAAAGCGTCAGAGAGGATTACTTGCCACCATCGTCTTTCTTTACAGAAAACAGATAATAGTGGTACGGTGATGCTTCAGCAATTGGATACCGTGATATTTGTTCTCGAATGATGTAATCAATAATTCAGTCGGTGATAACACAACAATGTATTTTTCCCTAATACTTATCCACTGACGGTGTTACTGTGACTTTGGCAGCGGTGTTTGGTTGTAGGACAAGGCTCAATTCATTTGACTTGTTTTAATTATCGGAAAAACTGGATTAAATCTGCAAACACATCACGTTAGGAAAACATGGTCTGGAAACTTGTTGTAAGTTTTTATTTATTCCTTCATATTTGTTGTTATTGTTGTTGTTGTTGTTGTTGTTGTTGTTGTTGCAAACAGGAACTACACTTAGTTCACAAACTGAGAGACTTCCAGGCGTGATATGTCGAGAGAAATGGGAAGTCCTTGTGGTATTTTTCTTTCAATTTTAAGAGAAAAGCCACTTACCCTACATCGTTTCCTGATAAAGGAGAATTTTCTAGCGGGCCACAGGGACTTCTCCACGGCCAGCCAGTGGACTGTGACCCCACGGTTTTAAGATCACTGGCATAGAGTAACGTACAGACTAGCGAAGGGGTATAACATATTAGAATATCTCAGAGAGTGGTCTATGGTCAAAATACATTGTAGCATCGTAGACACGGTTAGTGTTCACTGTCGGCTTTAGATGTTGCGATGTTGGGTGACCAACTAATCTATACATTAATAAAAAATCCTAATTTTCCGATGTTGTTAGCTAACAACTCAGAAACTACTTGAACTGAATGCTTTCAAATTTTCACACGTTTCCTTTGACTACAAGCGTGATTTTTTGTTGATCGGCCATATTTGACTGCTGACCTCTTATTGAACTTATTTTTTAATTTCATTTCACTATTTGCTTGAGTGTTTGGTAGCATAGTCGGTAGCTTTTTTTTTTTTTGCCTATCATGCAGGTGACCCGCGTTCGATTCCCAGCTAGGTGATATATTTTTTCAGCCCTTAACTGGGCGGCTAGCACGTTGTGTTGTGGTTTATGGCTTGTCTGCGATATCTACGTCTTTTTTGGTTTGGGGGTTTACAGCTAGCCTGCGACAGCGGCGCTCAATGGTCATGTCACGGGTAATCTTCGTCGCCTTTGAGAGGGCCGTTGGCACGTTGTGTTGTGGTTTACAGCTAGGTTGCGATATCTGACCTAAACTCTTCAGTCGTCGGTAGTATAGTTGTAAGTATGTCATCCTTTACGCGGGTGACCGATGTTTGACTCCCCGCTGGGTGATAATTGTTATTTTTCCCTTAAAAGGGTGGTTGCCACGTTGTGTTGTGGTTTACAGCTAGGCTGCGATACCGCGCCTTTCGCCCAAAGACATCCGATTTCAGTTCAGTTTGGTTTGGGTGGACAAAGATGCCAAGGTCAGTTAATAATCGTTCCATCGGAGAGGGAGAGATGACGGGTGCAGGGTATTTTTCTCCACTATTCTTGAGTATAGTGTACTTTTCACTGTGGGTTCCATCACTCGTTACGTGATGAAGTTTTTTTTTTCCTATGTCCGGGGCAAAATCAAACTAAATAGTCTGTTACTGTGGCGACAGCAGGCGGCGCTAACTCCTCTTTTCTACACCTACCTACACAGACTGTAGTGACAGTCTTTGTTGTTGTTGTTGTTGTGATGGTGGTGGTGGTTGTGGCTGCAGTAGTACTGGTACTGGATGGGTGATGTGGTAGCTGTTACACTGGCTACATTTACTTCTCTTTACAAGTTAATGCTACCTATTTAAGTCTGGGTGGACACGGACGCAATGCTCAATTTAGTTACATTATTTCATTACACGGTGACTTTCCCATCCTTCGGAGAAGCTAATATGATTGCGGGGGGAGGGGGGGGGGTTATACCAGACACAGTTAGCTGAGAGAGCTTAACATATTATTTTAAAGTTCTCATTTCTTAACTGTTTCTATTTTAATAATTTCGTCAGGTGATAATTTTTCAATCCTTCGGAGAGGGAGATATGACTGTGTCGAGGGGAGAGGAGAAGGAGGGGATATGACAGACACTGTTAGCCGAGAGCTTTTTTCTTTCCTCTCCATTTCACAATTCTGGGCCACAGCAACGCGTGGCCGCGTACAGCTAGTTTCTTCATAGATTTCACAGGGAGTAGACACAAACTAAGCTACCCATTTGACAAGTTTGGGTTATCTCCATATCTGAGGTCTACAGTTCAGGCAGCTCATCTGTGGGTGCGACACAGTGACCTGTTTTAGCCCTAGTCACCTTCTTGTAGGATGCAGTTTTTCGTGACCTGAAGCCCTAACCTGGCTCTTGCTGCAATATAGCCCGGCCATAAATATGGTCTAATGCTGAATACGGTTTCTGGGACCTCTCCACATGTGATCCTCATCCATATGGTGGTACTTTGTGTCATCGGGTGTTTATCGCTTGTATGATGTCTGGGTGGGGTAAAAGTACTACTACTACTAGTGACCTGTTTTGGAGATAACTAACCACCAATTCCTCAAGTAACTGTTTAAATTCAAATGGGTTCTCACTTGCAATGTTGTGTTCATCGGCTAAATAACACTTTGATAGCTTACGTTTACTTTCTCAAAACTTTTCAGGTGCTGACTGTCCTGGTTGAGAACTGGGGACGTCGCCTGGGCGCTCAAGCAGGTGAGTTGCTGTCTCAGCAGACAAAGTCTGTCAGAGAAGGAATTGTTAAGCATTGTTCATTGTTAAGTCAAATATTATACATGTAGATAAAGATAGGGGAAACTGACAGAGATGTTAAAATACGAATACAAGAGAAGCTTACCAAGCACTAGGGAATTTGTGGAGGTCAACAAAAATTAAAACTAATAATAAAGTTAAAATAAAAAAAAATTATAATGTCAAATCAGTACTGTTTTACGGATCTGTATCGAGGAGAAGTTAGACAAATTACTAATAAACTACAAATATTCATTTACTGGTGCCTGCACAGAATTTAAGGAATTAAATATTATGATTGAATCAGTATTGTAAAGCTCTGGGAGAGTACTAAACAAGTTTCAGTGGACCAAGAGGTGAGAAAATATGAGAACAATATAACTATAATGTCTTTGCACTGGAACCCACAGCGGCATAGAAATAAAGGAAGACACAGAGAAGAGGGCGAGAGAGTGAAGTTAAAAAGATGGGGAGGACATAGGGAGAGCTGCAGGCGATAACGAAGGATAGAACGACTTGGCGTCAGTTGGTTGAGGGCCTATGCTCCATTGGGGTATAAAAATGCAGAAGAAGAAGTTGAATATTATGTACAATCCAAACTAAGATTATTTCTTGTACAGTTCTGTTTAGCGTTTACCGGCTGTTAATTTCATCAGCAAGTTCTGGCTGCTCGTCCAGTTCTGGACTTTGATCATGTTCCAAAACCTGAGTTTTACATTTACATCCATTGTACAGATCTTGCTGATTTTTATGCAGACTGTTGGTTCTTCTCCTCTCGGGATGAGGCATTCCAACTTCCAAGGTAACACCCAAATATTGAACAACATGCGTTTTAGGTAGCAGTGGGTCTATTAATTCCCCCCCCCCCCCCTCAAATGGGACCCCAGAACCCAGACGGGGACTTTGAGCAATTAAACATTATGTGCGGTCCTGCGGACCTGCGCTCAGTCACGCCTGACGGATGATATCTCCACATACAAGTTTGAGAATCTACGTCAAGGCAGTCGTGGCAGCTGTTCGCTGACCTGAGAACCAGTTGTGATTGTCACAAAATCGTAGAACATAACGAGAAAGGTATCATGCACGAACTGGAACCCGCATGTATAAAGCCGTGCTCTGTGCACAGTGGCAAGCCTCGCTCCAAAGGTCCTCGCTTGCTAACATCCCTTGATCATTCTCTTTTTATATGCGAGTGTATAAAAAAAAAGTAAAAGTAACGATCCCTTTCACGCCTTTAGGCGTTTCGGGCTTATGGGAAGAGCGCCCATATTTTTACAGACCATCAGCACTCGGTGGGTAATGTGGTCAGCATTACGCCTGCTGTCTTTACTTCCCCAGGACAGCCCATCCTGGTACCCATTTAAGGCTGGATCGACCTGCGACGTCCCATACCACGATAAAAATCCACGCAGCCCGCAGTGGGTTTCGATCGCGTTACGTCACGTGATGTACGACTACTTGAGTGTGATCAAGGACTGTTAAAAGCAAGGGAACCGTGCAGAATAGTGGAAAGAGTGGTGCTTCATGGGAACAGTACAGAATAGTGAAAAGAGTGGTGCTTCATGAGAACAGTGCAGAATAGTGGAAAGAGTTTTGCTGCAAGGGAACAGTACATAATGGTGGAAAGAGTGGTGCTGATAGGAAACAGTACAGAATTGTGGAAAGAGTGGTGCTGATAGAAAACAGTACAGAATAGTGGAAAGAGTGGTGCTGATAGGGAACAGTACAGAATGGTGGAAAGAGTGGTGCTGATAGGAAACAGTACAGAATAGTGGAGAGAGTGGTGCTGCAAGGGAACAGTACAGAATAGTGGAAAGAGTGGTGCTGATATGGAACAGTACAGAATAGTGGAAAGAGTGGTGCTGATAGGAAACAGTACAGAATAGTGGAAAGAGTGGTGCTGATAGGGAAAAGTACAGAATAGTGGAAAGAGTGGTGCTGATAGGGAACAGTACAGAATAGTGGAAAGAGTGGTTCTGCAAGAGAACAGTACAGAATAGTGGAAAGAGTGGTTCTGCAAGGGAACAGTACAGAATAGTGGAAAGAGTGGTGCTTCATGGGAACAGTACAGAATGGTGGACAGAATGGTGGACAGAATGGTGGACAGAATGGTGGACAGAATGGTGGACAGAATGGTGGACAGAATGGTGGACAGAATGGTGGACAGAATGGTGCTGCGATAAGCGACCAAGATGTCTAGTAGAGACTCTCAACCGATACAGAAAGGCAAGACAAACATATGCTTAAACTGAACTGCTGGTACTATCGGAATTGGAACTTTAGGCATGCTGCTGAAGATAAGGACGAAGCGTTTATAGGAATCCCCGAGTGCTGTCAGTTCCTAACTAAAAACAACCCAGTCTCGGTGTTTCGCCTTGAATGGGCCCAAGGGGTCCTTTCACTTGTATACCCTGTTCATTTCCTCAAGCGATTACAAAGATTCGAGGACTCAATTCTACCTCCTACGCCATCATCATCACCAGGTGCCTTGTCGATTGGCCTGGGCAGTCATACCTCTACAAAATGTGCGGTCTTCAACAGCACGTATCGGTGCGTGTGCTGACACCCCTCCAAGCCAGGACAATGGACTGTCAAAAATCATCTAGCATTTTCTTTCTTTTTTTTCTCCCCCCCCCCCCCACCCTATTCTTCTCTTCTTATTATAAATTGTTTTCGAACCTTTGCATCTTTGAAAACATCTGGATCGTGGTTTTGCCTGTTCTAAATATTCTTCAGTAAAACCACATTTCCGAGGCCTCAAGAAATTATGTCACGTTTTGTATTAATTTGCCTTTAGCGCTTACACAAGAGGGAACCAGTAACGCAAGTGGCTAAATACTCGCTTAGTGGTCCGAAAGATTCGTGCTCCAACCCCCCCCCCCCCCCCCCCCGATTGCGGATTTTTTAATGATTTGCTTAGGGCTCTCAGATCCATCCCGGCTACATTGGGTACTATAAAATGTCCGGGGAAATAAAGGAGACCAGAGTTCATTGACCATCGAGTGACGTCTGGTCTAAATAGCCTGAAAAGGTCCTGACATTAATTTAATTATACAGAGATGGCTGAACATTTCATAACACCTTACATAACAGAAATGGACAGTTGGATAAAAGTAGACGTTTTATAAATAGGAAAGGGAAACGCACTCAGACTGTCAAATTAAAAGTGCGCCGACATTTCTGACACGTCAGCCAAGACACAAAGATTGATTGCCCACGGAGCATCTAGGACGTGTTAACACGTGTCTGTTTGGTACAGGTCGAGTTGAGACCGGGAAGTGGAATCCCTCGACAAGCGACCGGTGACTCGTCGGGGCGTGGCTCCTTCTTTCACGGCGCCTTGCAATCTAGTCATGAAAAAAAACCTGTTTTGGAAATGGCTTACGGAAGATGAGTTTTGAAATATTGAAAACATGGTCTTTATTTCGTTTCTTTTGCTTCTCATTCGTCGTCTTCTTCTTCTGCCTATGATTATTTTTATCTTCTTTTTTTCCTCTTTCTCCTCGTTCATTGACTGTATACTCTGAGGGAAAGTCCAGGTTGTTTGTCCACTTCTGGACGTAAGTCTTCTACCGCACTCACATCAATTTGACCGATCTGGCTTTTTTGTATGCAGACTGTTGGTTTCTGGTCCTTCATGAGATGCACTCCGATTTCGAAGGAAAGCGCTTACATTTTCGCCTTTTATGACGTGTTTGTTGCAAAGGGTAGAGAAAGGGCGGGGTGGGTCTTTTTCGTTTTCCCCCAAAACGGGACCCGGAAGCCCAGACGTGAATCTAATTAATTCAGTCCTGCACGTGCACCTGACTGTTTGCAGAACATGGCGGCCATGCAACAGCCACACAGGGACGAGAGTAATTTGGTTGTTTGTCGCCATGAAATCCTCTTTAATTCTACAGAGTGACCATAATAATATCTTAAGCTGGGAATGGGACACAGCACTAATGTTTTAAGCAGAAAACGGGACATCGCACTCATATTTTAAGCTGAAAACGGGACATCGCACTCATATTTTAAGCAGAAAACGGGACATCGCACTCATATTTTAAGCAGAAAACATTACTGTCCCAGTGAAAACGGGACGTGTGGTCAGCCTATTTCTACAGCAGCCTCACTTGTGTAGTTTTGCTAGACTTAACCAAAATCTCAGTGCTTCCGGTAAACATCCATATAATTACATTTGTTTGCCATAGAAGAACGCATTCATGTAATCACATTTGTTTGCCATAGAAGAACACATTCATGTAATCACATTTGTTTGCCATAGAAGAACACATCTATGTAATCACATTTGTTTGCCATAGAAGAACACATCCATGTAATCACATTTGTTTGTCATAGAAGAACACATCTATGTAATCACATTTGTTTGTCATAGAAGAACACATCCATGTAATCACATTTGTTTGTCATAGAAGAACACATCCATGTAATCACATTTGTTTGTCATAGAAGAACACATCCATGTAATGACACTAAAAGTAAAGCAAAGAACACTTGGCCAGGTGTCCAGACGTACATGGCATATAGGGCTAGACTATATTTTATAGTCCAATAAGCACTTGGTGGGTGATGGCGTGAACATGACGCCGGCCGCCTTTACTTCCAAGGACTTTACATAGTGCCCATATAAGGGCAGGTCAACCTGCGAGTAGACACCTACAACTTGAGCTGAAAACGAGACATCGCTAGCAAGTCAGTCTAAACACCCACCCCCCCCCCCTTTTTTTTCCTCCCCCTCCACACACACACACGCACACACACACACACACACACACACACACCCGCGCGCGCAAATAGAAAAATTACTCTAGAAATTATAGTTTATATTATTATTATTATCATCTCATCTCACCTTGATCCTCTGGTACATTGCGATATGGGGGTAGAGTTTATGATTCATGCGGAAAAGCTGACGCGTGTGTTTCCTAAATGGGGATTCCCATGAACTCGATTATTCCCTCTGTCCATCGCTTGCATGCTCGGCTTCTTCTTCGCTTCCCGTCTGGTCCGTACATCATTGCCTGCTGGGGTATACTGTCTGCTGGCATCAGCGCTACATGGCCAAACCATTTCACCTGTTGTTTTCTAATGAAATCCAGAACTTCTGCTATGTCCCATTTTCTTTCAGATTTTATCTTGTGTGATCTTATCGTTTTCTGTTACACTGAGTGCCCTTTGCGGGAAGTTTGTTGTTGTTGTTTGTGTTGGTATTATTATTATTATTACAATTGTTATGTTGTTTATTATTATTATTATTATTATTATTATTACTATTATCAAAAATATTAATATTATTATTACTATTATTTTTATTAATTATTCAGAGCCCAAATCGTTGTATGAAAATGAAAATATATATGCATAAAAATTGCAGGAGCTATGCATAATTTTTAATATTTTTTTTAAACGAGACAGTTGTGTTTTTGTTGTGTTTTTGTTGTGTTTTTGTTGTGTTTCTGGAGAACGAACAGGACTGCGGAGATACACTTTAAACAAAAGAAAACGGTGAAAACGCAACATGTGGTCGGTCTGCCTGGGAGACAAGGGGGATTTTTAGGGGGGGGGGGGGGGCAAAGTCCTGCTCCGTTCGGATTAGAACCCACCACCTTCAGAATGACACTTGAATGCCATCAAATGCACACATCCATGTAATCACACTTTTCCCCTTATAAAATAGCCATATATGTGGCATCTAGAAACAAGATGGCAACGTGTTGGTGCAGTTATATACAAAGTGACAACATTATTAAGACATCCAAACATAAGTATTTGTGTCAAGAAATAGATCAGAAACAGTATATTCCTACCACCACTTGGTTACCAGTGTCAGACTTGGACCTTATCAAAGACTAATCTAAGTGAAATTAACACATGCGAAACGAGATGCCTGAGAAACGTCGCCTACTTAATTATCTGAGACAAAGGTAGAAATGAAGAAGTTAGACTGCGGGAACAACATTATGCACCAAATTTATTAAGTAAGAGAAGACTGAATGGTTTGGTAATCTAGTAAGAATGCAGCCGGAAAAAACTATCAACTCAGATGCTATCCGTGAAAAGATCGGATATGAAAGCAAGAGACCGCTCTATGAGAAATTGATTGATGGCATTAAAAAGCTTCTATATAAACACCGATTGGAAAACCTTCCTCCCCATGTCTCTTAAAGTTTTACGTGGAAATTGATGATGATGTAAGTACTAACATGTCTATGTTTGCTGCATCCAGCGAACGTCAAGGACAAGTGTAGCACAGACGTCGACTGTCCGGCCCGTTCTTCGTGTCGGCCAGACGGCTGTAATGGCTACGTCTGTTTGTGTAGCCGTGGCTACGTCTATGACAGAAGGAGTGCTACGTGTGAGAAAGGTAAACTTTCGTCTACCCGTTCATGTATAGCTTTCAGATGTTCATGTCATCGCATCTGCATCATCATCATTGCTGTCGAACCCTTTTGTCATTGACATCAGCACCACCAACTCCTCAGGAATTACAACTCCATAGTTATTATCCATATCATCGCTATCATTATCTTCAGGAAAATCGCCATAGCTATTATGTTAGTTATCGATTTTAATATTAAAACTAAATACTCATCATCATCACATCATCAGAACCGCTATATCCAACATCATCACTATTATCATCACATCATCAGAACTGCTATATCCAACATCATCACTATTATCATCACATTATCAGAACTGCTATATCCAACATCATCACTATTATCATCACATTATCAGAACCGCTATATCCAACATCATCACTATTATCATCGCATTATCAGAACTGCTATATCCAACATCATCACTATTATCATCACATTATCAGAACCGCTATATCCAACATCATCACTATTATCATCACATTATCAGAACCGCTATATCCAACATCATCACTATTATCATCACATTATCAGAACCGCTATATCCAACATCATCACTATTATCATCACATTATCAGAACCGCTATATCCAACATCATCACTATTATCATCACATTATCAGAACCGCTATATCTAACATCATCACTATTATCATCACATCATCAGAACCGCAATATCCAACATCATCACTATTATCATCACATCATCAGAACCGCTATATCCAACATCATCACTATTATCATCACATCATCAGAACTGCTATATCCAACATCATCACTATTATCATCGCATTATCAGAACCGCTATATCCAACATCATCACTATTATCATCGCATTATCAGAACCGCTATATCCAACATCATCACTATTATCATCGCATTATCAGAACTGCTATATCCAACATCATCACTATTATCATCGCATTATCAGAACCGCTATATCCAACATCATCACTATTATCATCACATCATCAGAACTGCTATATCCAACATCATCACTATTATCATCGCATTATCAGAACCGCTATATCCAACATCATCACTATTATCATCACATCATCAGAACTGCTATATCCAACATCATCACTATTATCATCGCATTATCAGAACCGCTATATCCAACATCATCACTATTATCATCGCATTATCAGAACTGCTATATCCAACATCATCACTATTATCATCGCATTATCAGAACTGCTATATCCAACATCATCACTATTATCATCGCATTATCAGAACCGCTATATCCAACATCATCACTATTATCATCACATTAACAGAACTGCTATATCCAACATCATCACTATTATCATCACATCATCAGAACTGCTATATGCAACATCATCACTATTATCATCGCATTATCAGAACCGCTATATCCAACATCATCACTATTATCATCGCATTATCAGAACCGCTATATCCAACATCATCACTATTATCATCGCATTATCAGAACTGCTATATCCAACATCATCACTATTATCATCGCATTATCAGAACCGCTATATCCAACATCATCACTATTATCATCACATCATCAGAACTGCTATATCCAACATCATCACTATTATCATCGCATTATCAGAACCGCTATATCCAACATCATCACTATTATCATCACATCATCAGAACTGCTATATCCAACATCATCACTATTATCATCGCATTATCAGAACCGCTATATCCAACATCATCACTATTATCATCGCATTATCAGAACTGCTATATCCAACATCATCACTATTATCATCGCATTATCAGAACTGCTATATCCAACATCATCACTATTATCATCGCATTATCAGAACCGCTATATCCAACATCATCACTATTATCATCACATTAACAGAACTGCTATATCCAACATCATCACTATTATCATCACATTATCAGAACCGCTATATCCAACATCATCACTATTATCATCACATTATCAGAACCGCTATATCCAACATCATCACTATTATCATCACATTATCAGAACCGCTACACCCAGCATCATCACTATTATCATCGCCATTGCAATCACCACTGCAGTCATCAATAGCCTCGTAATAATCATCGCTTTTATTTTCGTTTATCAAGAAATAGACACATTAGTCAACATTATTCCAAGTTTAAATAATGTGGACATAAATAGCACATTGCACAATTTATTGTCCGACATATTCTGATTATCTCGACATGTGCCATTCAATAAAACTGAACTCTCCTGCGTTAGGCAAACAAAAAGATCTCATGATAAATTTAAAGTTACCAGATAATTTCATGGTTGATCTTGAATATCCAGTGAAGAGATACACAGTAACTTGGCAATGTGGTTTATGAATGTCAAAGAACAGGGTTTATTTGTTGTATTTTATTATTTGCTGATGTAACCCAGCAGCAATGCACCTGACGGGATGTAGCGAACTACAGTAAATTGTGCAATGTATTGTTTGTGCTGCAGTATTTAAATTTACAACTAGAAAACAGGAATTTGAGCTTTCCATCACATGTATTACCCCTCATAACAAGGCTCTGTCTAGACCAACAAGCAGTGGTTAGAATAGATTTGGTTTGACATCAAGCAAGGAGTCCGTCAGTGTGGTATGCTGTCACCCTATTTGTTTAACCTGTACACAGAAAATATAATGAGAAATGTCAGAGATAATACAACGAGGGAGCAATATGATACCCTAATTATCGGTGTTCATGAAATACCAGAGATCCGATATGGCGATGATACAGTATTGCTATCCACATCACAGACTGGTATAGACAACTTAATAACCTCAGCCCAAAGAAATTGTGAGAAATCACAATTTTTGGCTTAACATGGCAAAAACAAAGATAATGCATACAGATAAAACTACTATAGAGATAGAAATATATGTTGATGAGGAAAGATTGGAGACTGTGGAAAATTTTGAATATCTCGAGTCATTGATTACCAACAATGGTGACACAATGAAAGAAATTAAACAACGACTATCAATTGCTCTTCAAAGACTAAAACAACTGAATAAATTGTGGAGTAAGACAGACAGAACTATAAAAATTATATTTCTTCTTGTATCTTTCCCATTGCAACATACGCCTCTGAGACCTGGACAATTACTAAACAAGCTGAACAGCTCATAAATGCATTTTAATAAAAATTTTATAGACGGCTTCTAAGAATATCTTGGATAATAAACAAATTATTGCATACTTCAAGAAATGAACATTGAAGAAGGCTGGCTATTAAAGACTATAAAACACATACAATTGAATTATTCTGGTCACTTGAAACGTCACGAAAGTTTAGAGTGAATAATAATGGAGGGGGATATGCCTGGGAAGAGGAAAAGAGGAAGGCCAAAGAGAAGATGGGTGCAACATGTGGGGGATGATCTCCAGATGGATGTATCGGACGCGGGACATCTTGCATGTGATCGAGAAGTTTTCCAAAGGATTGTTGTGGGAGCAAGGTTCTGCAAAGGACATGCTACTGACTGACTGACTGAAGGAAAACTGTGTCTAGGTGTTTTGGTACTTTGCTTCATCCAGGTCGCTTGCTGATGTAGCGAATTATCTCTTCTTTAACTGGATTTTGAAGTCCGGCCGCCCTGTAGCTCGAAAATTGCGGAACGTATCAAATTTAAATCGAATAGATAGTTAAATAAATTTTTTGCCCTCTCAGGTAATTAGTTAGCTACAGGTCGATTACAGGACGTTGCAGAACCAACCTTAGTATTTTATTTTTTTTTTTTTTTTAATTTTTTTTTTATTTTAATTTTTTTATTTTGCATTTAGCAGTTTGCTATTGCTTTCTAAGCGTTTAGCTCTCGATACCACAGTCGAAACCAAAGCAAGGCGGTCTGCTGCCAAATCCCCGTCAGCTGGGATTGAACCCAGCACCTCGTTATTACACAGCGCGTTTGCAGTGTCTAAACCACAGATGCGAAGTTGGAAGTTAGACGAAGTCTAAAATGAATGTTCAGAAATGTCCTCGAATTGGAACGAGTCCGGTATATTGACCGCCAGAGATCCCAAGTCTGGTCGACCTGTACAAATGAGCGTTTGTGGTGTGACAACCATCGTTGACTTTCACTTATATTACTTATTCAAAACTACATGAAAGCGGTCGAGATTTTTTCAACGAATGGCGAGAACATCTTATGACTTATGTTCAGCCTCAGCCATCGAGTCGGTAGTGGTCTGGCAAAGTTAATGGCTACAACCAGATCATTAATACGGTGCGATGAGCCGACACGCACCATTGCAACTCCCAAATCCTCCTATAGGGCTGTTCAACCGGAGGCCCGCGGCGCAGATCTGGCCAGCAGAGGCTTAGCAAGTGGCTTGCTGATCATTGCCAATTGTACTGTATTAATCTTCTTCTTCTTCTTCACTTCCTATTTTACCGCTGTGGGTGTCGGGGGAGATATAAGGTTCTGTCTCTAGCTCTTCTGGCCGCCTCGACCATAGGCACATCGTGCTGTTGTAGAGTTTCTCTGATGTTATCCTTCCATATTGTTCTTGGTCTGCCTCGTGCTCTACGTCCTTCTTCTCTTTCCATGTATGCTTTGTATGTCATAATGATCTTTATATAATGCGGCTTGAACCAAGTGACCAAACCCAACTGTCAAAATGTTTGGTCTTTAGTGAATTGAGTTGAATAGCCCTGCCATAGTTCCTGGGTGTGCCATTGTTTAACCTGCAGGTTCACCAGTTGGAGAGTCGTGCGCTGGTGGCGAGAAGTGTCTCTCTGTCATGGCTATCTGCCAGCGTGACGTTTGTCAGTGTCAGGTCTTCTTCAGATACGTGGAGGAGTTCCAGAAATGTTCCTTCCCAAGTGGCAACGTCGTGGGTAAGTACTTAGTTTTGGTCTCAACGTCGTAGGTAAGTACTTAGTTTTGGTCTCAACGTCGTCGGTAAGTACTTAGTTTTGGTCTCAACGTCGTGGGTAAGTACTTAGTTTTGGTCTCAACGTCGTGGGTAAGTACTTAGTTTTGGTCTCAACGTCGTGGGTAAGTACTTAGTTCTGGTCTCAACGTCGTGGGTAAGTACTTAGTTTTGGTCTCAACGTCGTGGGTAAGTACTTAGTTCTGGTCTCAACGTCGTGGGTAAGTACTTAGTTCTGGTCTCAACGTCGTGGGTAAGTACTTAGTTCTGGTCTCAACGTCGTGGGTAAGTACTTAGTTTTGGTTTAAACAGCGCGCCATGTTCGTGTATCCGATAACTGTTGACTATAGGCATATGTATGAGCACATACTATATACGTAGTATCACAGAAATGAACTACAGAATAAATACACCGTATGATGATTCTGTGCTCATCCTCTTACACGCTAACGTGTTTCCATAGTGCGTTTCAAATTTGGTGATAATGTTTTTAAAAAAAAAAATTATATCTCAGCTGTGGTGGAATAAAAGCAGGTGCAGTTATATACTTATATTTACTTCATTCCTACCGATATATAAAAACAAATCCTGCATAATAAGTCATTGCTAATTTGAAGTATATAAATACACAATGATCCTTGCTGGATGGCCTTTTAAGAGTTATACAGCATGAAGTTTAAATGTAACCCACCGATTTTTCACAGAAACACCAGTTTCTTGTGTTTTACTTAAAATAGGAATACGTCCATAACTGTTGCGCTGAAAATGTCTCAACGCTGTATAAAATGAGTGTTTCCAACATTCGTGACAAACTGTAAAAGCAAAAACTTATGTGGCTATGGTTAGAGTAATTGATGTCCATAATGTATTATTTGTTTTGTTACCTTATTAAAACTATATCAGTGATGAAAGTAACAAAATCAAATCTGTTTGGATATAGCTGTGAAGTTTAAATATTGTTTATGAATATTTTTAAAAAGTTTAACATTTACGGAACGCCATTTCAAAGACTTGCATTATACTAAAAACTCTACCGTATGCATCTTCGTATGCGTTTAGTTTAGCCCTTAACAAACACTGGGGATCTTTAATTTACCCATTAACAATCACTAGGGATATTTAATTTACCCACTAACAAACACTGGGGATCTTTAATTTACCCACTAACAAACACTGGGGATCTTTAATTTACCAATTAACAAACACTGGGGATCTTTAATTTACCCATTAACAAACACTGGGGATATTTAATTTACCCATTAACAAACACTGGGGATATTTAGTTTACCCATTAACAAACACAGGAAATCTTTAATTTACCCATTAACAAACACCGGGGATCTTTAATTTACCCATTAACGAACACTGGGGATATTTAATTTACCCACTAACAAACACTGGGGATCTTTAATTTACCCATTAACAAACACTGTGGATCTTTAGTTTACTCATTAACAAACACTGTGGATCTTTAGTTTACCCATTAACAAACACTGGGGATCTTTAATTTACCCATTAACAAACAATGGGGATCTTTAATTTACCCATTACCAAACACTGGGGATATTTAGTTTACCCATTAACAAACACTGGGGATCTTTAATTTACCCATTAACAAACACTGTGGATCTTTAGTTTACCCATTAACAAACACTGGGGATCTTTAGTTTACCCATTAACAAACACTGTGGATCTTTAGTTTACCCATTAACAAACACCAGGGATCTTTAATTTACCCATTAACAAACACCAGGGATCTTTAATTTACCCATTGACAATCACTAGGGATATTTAATTTACCGATTAACAAACACTGGGGATATTTAGTTTACCCATTAACAAACACTGGGGATCTTTAATTTACCCATTAACAAACACTGGGGATATTTAATTTACCCTTTAACAAACACTGTGGATCTTTAGTTTACCCATTAACAAACACTAGGGATCTTTAATATACCCATTAACAAACACTGGGGATCTTTAATATACCCATTAACAAACACTAGGGACATTTTGACAGCAGCCAACAGTAATGATTTCTCCACGGTTTAGTAACGCCGGATGTTGCCTTGAATTGTAAACCTTCCAATCGCATGCTCTGTTGGCTTCCAGGAGAACGATGCAACACCAAAGACAACTGCTCTGATCCAAACTCCGACTGTATCAAGGGATTCTGCGCATGTGCAGAAGGCTATAGACTGAAAACAGACGAAGAATACTGGGTCGACCCAATGAACCCCAAGGAGTGTGTAATGTTCAACTCATCTCTGAGTAAGTCTTGTGATGTCTACACGCTACTTTTATTTTCTTTTCATTATCACACGTGTTTACACTACAAATATCGTTCCTATGATAGTCCTCTGTGTGAGACTCGGTCGATCTGGAGAGCCGCTAGGTGGTCATTGGAAAACCGAACTTTGCTGAATGTCTCTGGTCCGCCTTGAGCGGACATGCAACAGCCAGCCTGAGGAACATAACATGTCAAGACTTTAACCATCGACCGGCCTATCCACCATAACGCACAGGAAGTTTAAACTGCCCAGGTCGTATGGTACTCAGTGTCATTAGTGTATTCGGCTAACCGTTATTATCAGTCGGTAAGAAATCTCAATTTCAGCTAATATTTATGTTTAGGATGTATCAAAGTCTGGATAGAGGAAACAGTAACACCTTTAAAATAGCCATAGAATGTTTTCAAATTCCTCAGTCAGACACACCCACTAATCTTCTTCTTGTTCAAATCCATGGCGGTGCTAGACATGTCTGTCCACAACCTTCTGTCTCGTATGTGTTCAATCAGTTCTGAAACAGATGATCGTCCATGCCATGATGTCAAACTGTCCAGCATCTTTTCTCTCGGTCTTCCTCTGCCTCTCCTCCCCTCCAGCTTCCCACTGTCACTATGTACCCCAGTTTTCTTCTTTCCATGACATGATCAAACAAATTTAAATTGTCTCCTTCTGATGTGGGCTGTCAGTTCTCTTCGTGGGTCAGTTTCTTTCAAGACATCTTCAGTACTCTATGTATGTCCAATAACTAATGTCTCATTCTCTGGTTTGCGTACAGTAACCGGTTGACGGTCTGGCTGTACCTGCAGTACATCCTGCTCCCTCCTAGATGAGTCAGTTCTTGAGCTCCCCTTACCGGCGTTTACTTAAAAATAAACAGAGGGGGAACCTCTTACTTGAACGATTGGTGTATAAACATGACTTTGCTTTGCAAAATAGTCACTGCAGGTTGCAATTTGTTTCTGTGAGAGCAGTGTCCATACTGGGCCGGTTGTCTTAGCCATTGTGCCTACAGATACATCCTTTACCTGGCACAGTTAAAGTGGGTTAAGGTTGCTAGTTGCGTAGATTGTGTTAATGTCAAATTGTGTTTATGTAGTGTCTGTTTTACTCCCTCCACCCATCTCTTTCTTGGTCGGTCTCTTGCCTTGCAAACTGTTGTTTTCAAGTAGTGCGTTCTAGCCGCGGACTGATTTTGTTCTATTTTGACCAGATGATCAAACCATTTCATTCCTTGATGTTCTATGTTCTATTATTTACCAGCACTGTGCAAACCATTGTTCTTGGTTCTTTGTTGGCGACTGTCTCTTCCTGTTTTTCCAGCACGCATTTCTTAAACTTCTCATCTTACGTCTCATTGTGAGTTTATGTTTATCTAGTACTGTCCATGTCTGACACTGACAGCACACGACTGGTACGAATAGTTCATTTATCAGTTCCTTTCTTGTGTACAATTGTTGGTATTTTGATGCCTTGAAAGTAAAGCTTTGAGTGTAGTGGTGTCAGACATCACACATGAAAGATAGTCCACTAAAAGTTTACCATTTGTTTCTTCTCTTTGATCTAGCACTGTGCAAGGGGAAGCTAGTCACGCCAAACCCACCAGCCGACTGTAAGTTGTTAGCTGTACGCTTCTCTTGCTCTTTCTGTTGTTGATGTCTCTCTTCTAGGCCAGGATGTAGGCAGGATCGAGTAAGAATTAATTACAATCAGACTGAAGAAGCAATAAAGAAAACAATAGACGAGTAAGATGTCAACTGGAGAATAAGGCAACAACTGTACACAAATAAGATAAAAGGAGCAGACAAGACTTCTAAAATATGCAAATAAGATGTTAAATACATAAATCAAACTAACAAGTAAGGTGTCAAGTGTGGATTAGGTTAACAATACAAAAGCGTGTGTAATTAAAGAACAAAAAAATACAATAAAGCAATAAATAAATAAAAAGTAATGTTATAATCAAAGAAAAAATACTAATTGCAGAGTATGGAAACAATACAAAATCAGGAATTTCCTCAAGAATTTAAACCATTAAAAAAAGCAAGCAAGAAATTAAGGTAACACATGTCTAAGGAAACTGTCTCTGTCTCTCAGTCTTGTCTGCCTGTCTGTCTTGTCTGTCTGTCTGTCTTGTCTACCTGTCTGTCTTGTCTGACTGACTGTCTTGTCAGTCTGTCTGTCTTGTCTACCTGTCTGTCTTGTTTACCTGTCTGTCCTGTCTGCCTGTCTGTCGTGTCCCCCTGTCTGTCTTGTCTGCCTGACTATCTTGTTTGCCTGACTGTCTTGTCTGCCTGTCTGTCTTGTCTACCTGTCTGTCCTGTCTGCCTGTCTGTTTGTCCACCTGTCTGTGTTGTCTGCCTGACTATCTTGTCTGCCTGACTATCTTGTCTGTCTGTCTGTCTTGTTTGCCTGTCTATCTTGTCTACTTGTCTGTCTTGTCTACCTGTCTGCCTTGTCTGCCTGTCTGTCTTGTCTACCTGTCTATTTTGTCTACCTGTCTGTCTTGTCTTCCTGCCTATCTGTCTCTCTGTCTTGTCTGCCTGTCTGTCTTGTCTGCCCGTCTGTCTTGTCTACCTGTCTGTCTTGTCTGCCTGACTGTCTTGTCTGCCTGTCTGTCTTGTCTGCCTGTCTGTCTTGTCTGCATGTCCGACTTGTCTACATGTTTGTCTTGTCTGACTGACTGTCTTGTCTGATTGACTGTCTTGTCTGCCTGACTATCTTGTCTGCCTGTCTGTCTTGTTTGCCTGTCTGTTTTGTCAGCCTGACTGTCTTGTCTACATGTCTGTCTTGTTTGCCTGTCTGTTTTGCCTACCTGTCTGTCTTATCTGCCTGTCTATCTTGTCTGCCTGTCTGTTTTGTCTACCTGTCTGTCTAGTCTGACTGACTGTCTTGTCTGCCTGTCTGTCTTGTCTACCTGTCTGTCTTGTCTGTCTGACTATCTTGTCTGCCTGGCTGTCTTGTTTGCCCTTCTGTCTTGTCTGCCTGACTATCTTGTCTACCTGTCTGTCTTGTTTGCCTGTCTGTCTTGTCTGCCTGACTATCTTGTCTACCTGTCTGTCTTGTCTACCTGTCTGTCTTGTCTACCTGTCTGCCTGTCTGTCTTGTCTGCCTGTCTATTTTGTTTGTCTGTCTGTCTTCTCTGCCTGACTATCTTGTCTGCCTGTCTGTCTTGTTTGCCTGTCTGTCTTGTTTGCCTGTCTGTCTTGTCTACCTGACTGTTTTATCTACCTGTCTAACTATGCATTAGCCATCCACGCTTTGTGTTTATTTTACTCAATATAAATAGTATTATGTTGTTATATTAACATAATACTTTATAGATACAATTAAGTTGTTATGTGAAAGATACACGTTTGGAAGGCCAAAATGTCATACGGGACTGCGTGCCCCATTTGTAGCTTTGAAAATGAAGTTCGTTCGTTTCTTCTGGCTGACTGTCTGGTTGTGTGTCTGCACGTCTGTCTGTATTATTGTGTCTGTAGATATGAATACAATGTAATGTTTGAGATTGTCCCTTAAGCAATAACACTTGTACTGAAGAAGGTCTATTTGACCGTTGCAGTGATCCCAGCTGGTGAACCATGCACGGGACCCAACCAGTGCGTCAGTCAAGCCTACTGCACCGCCAATATCAGTGGGGTGTGCACGTGTGACAGCGAGCACTACAACGACAAGGGCAAATGTGGTGACAGTGAGTAGTTTTTTTTCCCCCTGTCTGAGCCAATCTTTGCTTCTTTTGTGTGTGTGTATGTGTGTGTGTGTGTGTGTGTGTGTGTGTGTGTGTGTTTTGTGAAATTACCATTACTGCCTGTGCTGTGTGGTGTTCGCAAGGGAAAAGCTGGAGGGGGAGGGGTCAGAAACTGAGCATTTAGGGCCGCATGGTTAGTGCTGTAGCCACTGACTGTGCAGATTAGGATTTTATGTTTGTTCCTGACAGAAAACAGAATCCACAACCTGACGTAGGATTCGAACCGGGGTGTCTCAGCTTGAGAACCCAGTGTTTTAACCATTCGGGCAGCTGTTCCTTGCTTTCCTGAAAGTATTGAAAATAGTGGTGACTGCAGTCGGCTTTGGTGTCCGGGTCAGAGCGGAGGATGTCTATCTGGTGAAAGAATACTGCGGAAGCAAGCACATTGTTAGTATGAATAGTTAAAATCAGTTTGGGTCCATCAGTGGGGGAATTACGTTTAGTGAGGAAAGCGTCTTTCCTTGTGATTGTTAACAGTTTGTTCAAAGCCTCTTATAAAGCGTATTCCGGATAAAAGCGGGCAGGGAAGAAGTCAAGAAGTTCACCTCATTTCGTAAATATTTTTAGTATCAGTTCACTGGATTCATTCCTCCCACCCTCCCCCCCCCCCACCCCCCCCCCCCATTTTTATGTGATCGTTTGATTTCGTTTATGTAGGTAAATTTTGCTAGAAGTGCTGTTACGATACACCTCCAAAGCCACGCTTACTTAAGCAAGATATCAACAGTGCAGACATAAATACAATCCTAACTTGCACGTTTCTGGACCCCTGCACTGGCTATGCGACTGTAAATCTTTGGACAAGATCTCCTGCTATAAAGGAAATTCATTAGGAATAAGCAATTGCAGTGATATGGGGGTTTTTTTAACAAGCGGTCGGAACAAAATTGTTTTGTCCAATTTCTTGAGAGTCACCCTGCCCTGCAACACGTTTATTCCACCGATGCACATGATTGTGGTTGTCCGCCGGGTAGAAGCTTTTGAGCGTGGCAAGCAACCAGGTTTGCACCACAGACATCGTCTTATTGTTCATTAACACATCTCTTATCCTGCAAATCGTCTTTCTGTGGACCCAAAAATAATCTTCGATGGCTCTAAGTCTGGGCTGTATGTTGGATGTTTCAGTCAAACGGTACATCCCTGATGGCGTAGAACGTCACTCACTCAAATCTTGGAGTCACCAACAGGAAAGAGAAAGCCAGTCACAGAGATGAACTGATCTAGGTGATGCCTGTAGTAATAAAGCTTCAAGGGCTTGAAATGCCGAAGACAAAGACGAAGAAGAACAGTCCTGATTGCTAGATACAAGTTACTGAGACCCAAGATGCTGTAAGATTGATGGGTATGAGTTCTAAACGTAGTAATAGCTGATGGCTCATGCAGTGGGAAGGATCATCATCACACCTGTTTCAGGTGTTTAACTGGGCATGTGTCGAAATGCATTACTTCAGCCAGCGGCGGTTTTCAGTTCATCGTCTTTATCGTGTGCCTTTTTCATTTGCACGGGCTGTCATGTTTCGTCATTACACATGGTCATCAGAATCAAAGATCAGGTCATTGTTCTTGTTTCGCCAATCCATATGGTCAAGCATTCTGATTTGTATCTCTTTGTTTCAACTTGTTCTTTTCTCATTTCTCGCCAGTCGTTTCCAAGTTTTCAGCTCTAACCAGTTTACAATGGGTCAGTGTTCTCAAGTTGATTTGGCAAAAAGCTTTGCAGATATAGGTTGATTTCAAGGGAACGAAGAAACCCACAGATGTATAAAATGTGAGGAACGGCACAATTAAATGGTGAAAAATACAAGACCCCTTTTTCACTTCATGAGACTCTTGTGTATGTGGTGCTGTTGACAAATATCACACCGACGTGGCTCAGTGTGTGATGTGTTCAGTGTGTGATGTGTTCAGTGTGTGATGTGTTCAGTATGTGATGTGTTCAGAGTGTGATGTGTTCCGTGTGTGATGTGTTCAGTGTGTGGTGTGTTCAGTGTGTGATGTGTTCAGTGTGTGATGTGTTCAGTGTGTGATGTATTCAATACAAGCTTATTGCACTGTCCACTCCAACCCTTTACAGGACGAGTGGCCGGAAGTACTTGTTTCGGCACCGGACAGTGTGTGGTCAATTCCGAATGCTCGTCCACCATGGGAGGAACCTGTGACTGCAGATCCGGGTATTACGAAAGTGGAGGCATTTGTGTAGAAGGTAGGTGAGGTATTTGTGTAGAAGGTAGGTGAGGTATTTGTGTAGAAGGTAGGTGAGGTGTTTGTGTAGAAGGTAGGTGAGGTATTTGTGTAGAAGGTAGGTGAGGTATTTGTCTAGAAGGTAAGTGAGACATTTGTGTAGAAGGTAAGTGAGGTATTTGTGTAAAAGATAAGTGAGGCATTTGTGAAAAAGATAACTGACGCATTTGTGTAAAAGATAATTGAGGCATTTGTAAAAAAGATAAATGAGGCATTTGTGTAAAAGATAACTGAGGCATTTGTGAAAGAGATAATTGAGGCATTAGTGAAAAAGATAACTGAGGCATTTGTGTAAAAGATAATTGAGGCATTTGTGTAAAAGATAACTGAGGCATTTGTGAAAAGATAATTGAGGCATGTGTGTAAAAGATAACTGAGGCATTTGTGTAAAAGATAAATGAGGCATTTGTGTAAAAGATAACTGAGGCATTTGTGAAAAAGATAATTGAGGCATTTGTGTAAAAGATAACTGAGGCATTTGTGTAAAAGATAAATGAGGCATTTGTGTAAAAGATAAGTGAGGCATTTGTGTAAAATATAACTGAGGCATTTGTGTAAAAGATAAATGAGGCAATTGTGTAATAGATAACTGAGGCATTTGTGAAAAAGATAAATGAGGCATTTGTGTAAAAGATAACTGAGGCATTTGTGTAAAAGATAAATGAGGCATTTGTGTAAAAGATAACTGAGGCATTTGTGAAAAAGATAAATGAGGCATTTGTGCAAAAGATAACTGAGGCATGTGTGTAAAAGATAACTGAGGCATTTGTGTAAAAGATAAATGAGGCATTTGTGAAAAAGACAAATGAGGCATTTGTGTAAAAGATAACTGAGGCATTTTTGTAGAAGATAGGTGATGTCTTTGTATAGAAGGTAGGTGATGTATTTGTGTAGAAGGTAAGGAAGGTGTTTGTGTAAAAGGTAGGAGAGCCATTTGTGTAGAAGGTAGGTGAGTCATTTGTTTAGAATGTAGGTGATGTATTTGTGTAGAAGGTAGGTGATGTATTTGTGTAGAAGGTAAGGAAGGTGTTTGTGTAAAAGGTAGGAGAGCCATTTGTTTAGAAGGTAGGTGATGTATTTGTTTAGAAGGTAGGTGATGTATTTGTTTAGAAGGTAGGTGATGTATTTGTTTAGAAGGTAGGTTATGTATTTGTTTAGAAGGTAGGTTATGTATTTGTTTAGAATGTAGGTGATGTATTTGTTTAGAAGGTCGGTGATGTATTTGTTTAGAAGGTTGGTGATGTATTTGTTTAGAAGGTAGGTGATGTATTTGTTTAGAAGGTAGGTGATGTATTTGTTTAGAAGGTAGGTGATGTATTTGTTTAGAAGGTAGGTGATGTATTTGTTTAGAAGGTAGGTGATGTATTTGTTTAGAAGGTAGGTGATGTATTTGTTTAGAAGGTAGGTGATGTATTTGTTTAGAAGGTAGGTGATGTATTTGTTTAGAAGGTAGGTGATGTATCTGTTTAGAAGGTAGGTGGTGTATTTGTGTAGAAGGAAAGTGAGGCATTTGTGTAAAAAGTAAGTGATTTGGACACTTTTCTGTATCTGGTGGGTAATTGTTATTTGCTCAGTATTTCGCATCTGGTTTGTTTTATTGGTCTTTCTATAGGGTTTTTTCTAGTGTACCATGGATCAAACAGGAATAAAGATATTAAACATGAGCAATACACACACAAAGAGAAGAAGAAGAAGATGAAGAAGAAGAAGAAAGAAGAAAGAAGAAGAAATAAGAAAGAAGAAGGAATAAGAAAGAAGAAGGAAGATAAAAGAAGAAAGAAGAAGGAAGAAAAGAAAAAGAAGAAGGAAGAAGGAAAAAGGAAAAAGGAAGAAAGAAGAAGGAAGAAAACAGAAGGAAGAAGAAGGAAGAAGAAGGAAGGAGGAAGAAAGAAAAAGGAAGAAAGAAGAAAGAAAAATTAAGAAGAAAGAAGGAAAAAAAGGGAGAAAAATAAGGAAGAAGAAGAAGAAGAAGGAAGAAGAACAACGAAGAAGAAGAAATGGAAGGAAGAAGAAGGAAGAAGAAGAAGGAACAAGAAGAAGGGAGAATAAGAAGGAAGAAGAAGAAGATATTCGTACAAGAGTGTCTGCATGTGTTATTAGTATCTGGTAATTGTGTTTTCTCTAGCATGTTTGTTGTATAAGGTTTGGGGATTCTAACGTGGCCTTTGGTTTGTAATTTGTCTGTAGTATGTTTACTGTCAGTTGTGAGTGGATTCATATTTATATGTGGTATGTTTTCTGACAGTTGTGAGTGGATTCATATTTATATGTGGTATGTTTACTGTCAGTTGTGAGTGGATTAATATTTATATGTGGTATGTTTACTGACAGTTGTGAGTGGATTCATATTTATATGTGGTATGTTTACTGTCAGTTGTGAGTGGATTCATATTTATATGTGGTATGTTTTCTGACAGTTGTCAGTGGATTTATATTTATATGTGGGATGTTTACTGTCAGTTGTGAGTGGATTAATATTTATATGTGGTATGTTTTCTGACAGTTGTGAGTGGATTTATATTTATATGTGGTATGTTTACTGTCAGTTGTGAGTGGATTAATATTTATATGTGGTATGTTTTCTGACAGTTGTGAGTGGATTTATATTTATATGTGGTATGTTTACTGTCAGTTGTGAGTGGATTAATATTTATATGTGGTATGTTTTCTGACAGTTGTGAGTGGATTTATATTTATATGTGGTATGTTTACTGTCAGTTGTGAGTGGATTAATATTTATATGTGGTATGTTTTCTGTCAGTTGTGAGTGGAGTTATATTTTTATGTGGCATGTTTACTGTCAGTTTTGAGTGGATTCATATTTTTGTGTGGCATGATTACTGTCAGTTGTGAGGGGATTCATATTTATATATGGCATGCTTACTGTCAGTTGTGAGTGGATTCATATTTTTATATGGCATGCTTACTGTCAGTTGTGAGTGGATTCATATTTATATGTGGTATGTTTACCGTCAGGTGTGAGTGGATTCATATTTAAATGTGGTATGTTTACTGTCAGTTGTGAGTGGGTTTATATTTATATATGGTATGTTTACTGTCAGTTGTGAGTGGATTAATATTTATATGTGGAATTTTTACTGTCAGTTGTGAGTGGATTAATATTTATATGTGGTATGTTTTCTGTCAGTTGTGAGTGGATTTATATTTTTATGTGGTATGTTGACTGCCAGTTGAGAGTGGATTTATGCTTTTATGTAACTGTTTTGTGTAAACTAAGTATGGCTGTTTTTGCAACGACATTTCAAACAAATGGTTTCTGACCATTTTTACAGCCATCTGGCCGACAAAACCGTGCACAGCTTACGGTCAGTGCGTGGACAACGCCGAGTGTGGCGTGGGCACATCCAATGTTTGTGACTGCAACGAGGGATTTTTCGCCAACGTCTCTATGTGCCACGAAGGTCAGTGGTCAGTGAGTGCAGTTTGCTCTCTGTTTAGGGTGTTCTAATACAGGACATGGCAGCCACCGTGTAGTGGTAAGACGCTCCCCTGTCGATCCCAAGGGCATGGGTTCAGGTCCAGACGGAGCCAGACAATGACTTTCGCTGTCAGGTCGACCCAGTGTTAACTGTGTATCAGGTAAAGTCCTGGGAAGTAAAGGCGATCGGCGTGATGTTGACAGCATCACCAACCGAGTACCACCTGCTTTGAAAAAAGATATAGGTCTAGCCCTATATGCCCTTTACGCCTGAGGGCATTGTAATAGGTCCTTTTGTTTTGCTTTAATGTGGGTCCTTTGGTGGACTTGTTATCATGTTATAGATATCATCATAAGTATGGGAACTTCTCACTGGCTGTACACGGAGGAAGACAGAGCACTTTTGGGAATGTCCGAGTGCAGATTGACTGACTGATTGATTGAGTGAGTGAGTGAGTGAGTGAGTGAGTGAGTGAGTGAGTGAGTGAGTGAGTGATGAGTGAGTGAGTGAGTGAGTGAGTGAGTGAGTGAGTGAGTGAGTGAGTGAGTGAGTGAGTGAGTGAGTGAGTGAGTGAGTGAGTGAGTGAGTGAGTGAGTGAGTGAGTGAGTGAGTGAGTGAGTGAGTGAGTGAGTGAGTGAGTGAGTGAGTGAGTGAGTGAGTGAGTGAGTGAGTGAGTGAGTGAGTGAGTGAGTGAGTGAGTGAGTGAGTGACTCATTAATCATTCACGTAAGATTTATTGGTCTATGTATCTTAGGATAGTCGACGTAGCTTCATAATTCCGTCCTACCTGGTTCCTGTCAGCTACAAGCATACTAGAAGAAACCCGCCTTACGTTGAATTTGACAGTGGTATGATCTTTTTACTAAAACGATTGCATGACCTGGGATTAAGTCATGGTGAAGCACGCCAATACCACCTTCGAGGCGGAGATAGGAAACATTATAACCAACCACTAATGGCAACAATCAGTAGCGGTGCCTTGGAGTGGCTGCTGCGACGAGAATGTCCAATGTGCACTGACGTCAAATGTGATAAAATAACATAACATCTTCGAACCGTTTAGAAAGCAATGGCAAACTACTGATCCTAAAATTGTAAGATCACAGTCAAACAAAGCAGTGGTTGATTTGTGCCGTCCTGTTAAGGATATCCAACCAACTAGCTAATGAAAGACATTACTTGAAGTTATGTGTATTTTTTTTTTTTTTTAAACGAAGAAAATTTCTGGCGAAACTGTATGTTACTTGTTTGAAACGTGATGACCCCGTTATCATATTTTAGACGTTATTGCTGCTGTGTGCTCGACAGAGGCCACCCCCCCCCCCCCCCCTCTTCCGGGCAACAGCTTTGACGGGCTGTCCAAACCAAAACATGGTAGCCGACCTGGTTCTAAACCACTCGGTGATTGGGATATGCCTACCCTGCATGCGAAGACTGGACACGGCGGATTGATCGGATGGAACTTCTTATTGGTTCAACGAATAAAAAGGCGATTACCAGCAGGCTCTGTGGAGAATTTCGAGCAAGGCAGGGCACTTAAGACGCCTTGATCATTCACTGTACCTAACTGCAAACGTAAATATATAGCTGTTCAAACAAAACTCCCAACAAGAAACTAAACATAGGCGCGTTGAAAGAATCGACATCACAACACTCGGGACACTCTCATAAGTGCTCAGTCCTCATCTTCAGCAGCAAGCTAAGAGTTTAATTCTGATGGTACCAGTAACCGTCTGTATTGTATTTTCGTCTCATCCTTCCCCTGAGTGTTGAGCGTTGGCCAAGATCCCCTTAACTCCTCTGAGCACCATTCTCCTCAGACCGTAATTATCTACCTGCGCCTCCGCACTGTTCACCCGTTTTCAAAGGGCCCTCACAATATCTAACTTATCATCCACCAATTCATCACCATGGGTGCGGAGCCAGCCAATCTGTCTGCCTGCTCATTTCCCAACACACAGGCGAGTTTTGGTAGCTCAAATAACATTTCTACTCAGTCCTAATAAAAAAAAAATTGGTATTGAACGAATTCAGTTAGAAAGAGGAGCCGCGATAGGGCCGCAAATACATACTGGCATACTGATCCAAAATATTCGAACCCGTACCAAGTAGACTGTTCTGTTATTAACCGTTTTACCAGTCTGACATGAATATATAAAACATATCCGCGATACAGACGTCTGTGTGTTTGTGTGTGTGTGTGTGTGTGTGTGTGTGTGTGTGTGCAGGCGTGCGTGTATGTGTGTGTGGGGGGGGGGGTGTGGATGTGTGTGTGTGTGTGTTTTTTTTTACCCAAAATAGGGCTTAGCAATCCTTACGGAATAATGTGCTTTTTAAACCAGGATCATACAAGTATACTAAAACTCCCCTATCCGTTTGAACCTGCGTAAGATCACAACTGTCTGTTTGTTCCAGTTATCCCGCCTGGTTTGCCGTGCTCGGGTGCTGGTCAGTGTGTGACCCAGGCCCAGTGTCTGGACGGGGTGTGTCGTTGTGACGAGGGCTTCTACAGCTTCAGGTCAGTTTTTCTGGATCCAGACAAAATATGTAGGGCTATGTTGATTCACGGAATTGTAATAAATACTGTTAATGCAGGTAACGCTTCAATAAATGGCATGAAAATTCGTAAACTTATCACTATCAAAATTAGTATCACACTTGAATCGACTACCGTGAATGAACACTGCTGAGTGCAAGTTAACACTTGTTCATTCATTTTTAATACCGTTTGTAGATGGATTTCCCCATAAACTCTCCAGTCTCAACTCATGGATAAAAGAAAAGGAATCTCAGTACAGCATACGAGCATTGCACAACAAGAAACATTCATATTCTGCTTCTTTTTCTTCATCTTTGTCTTCCTCTTCTTCTTCATCTTTGTCTTCCTCTTCTTCTTCCTATTCCTCTGCAGTACTTGCCACTAAAAGACTGGCCGCATGTTGTGTATAGTTTACTGTTCAGCTCTGATATCTGCACATTTTAGCCCAACATCCGATGTCAGCAAAGTATTACATTAAGCTCAAACAGTTTAACACTATAAAAAGTATAACATTTAGAATCTGAAGTATTACATTTTCTAGGGGTATTTGTAAAGTAGCCACCCGCCCCGGGGAGCCGTGCCGCTCCACTGATGAGTGTGTGTCCAGCTCCAAGTGCCTGCGAGTGGCAGCTACCTTCAAATGTTCCTGTAACACTGGCTACTTTGTCTTAAACGGTAAGTGGACATCACGTTGGTGGACATCAGCTTCATTTCCTCTTTCTCTAAAGGTCAATGGCTAAGTTGATGCGAACGCTTCGTAATGCGGGGATGCCAGGTTCGATCCCAGCTGCGGGCCATGCGCCTTGCGTTAGTTTTACAGTGGTATCAAAGAAGCCGACCGTCCAGGAAGCAATGGCAAACTAATGGACGTAAATTTGCCTAGAAAAACCACACAACACCAGGGGCTGTTGGGGTTGGTTCTGCAACGTCCTGTAAAGGATACGCAACTGACTAACCTAAAGGTCAAGTCGGGAGATGTAAGCCAGTGTCATTGCACACGGTTATAAACCATAAGTCTCAGCCACCAGTACGGACAGCTGATTAGAAACTCTTCCCCTGTGTCACCGTCCACAGGCAACTCCATAGCTACAGCAACGTTCCTCCATTTACCCCAGAGTTTTAACTCTGGTACCCATTTCCTAGAGGCTGGGTGAACCTCAGGAACTGCCAGGTTTCAAACATCGGCCATGGACTGTAGCGAGGCGCAGCTGTATTTGAAAGTGAGTCTCCTATTGACTGCGCTAACGTGGCTCCCACTTTCTCTGCTTCAGCCTTCAGTCTCCCAAAGGAGCCTACCTTGTCTGTGATACTCATCTTTACCTGATGCTGCATGCTATCACAAAAGCTGGTTCACCTGTACGTAGCTTGGCATGGAGGGCTATGACATTAATGATGAGTAACCAGCAACCGCCCTCATTCAAAAGACAGAAACTCACCACGAGTTTGCTGTTAACTTCATATTTTCTTACTTTTTTTTTTTTTTAATTCAGTTATTTTATTAGCTCACCTTGTTCTCTGTTTGATTTAACCCACATTGTTCTCTGACTTAACCCACCTTGTTCTCTGTTTGACTTAACCCACATGGTTTTCTGTTTGACTTAACCCACCTTGTTCTCTGTTTAACTTAACCCACATTGTTTTCTGTTTGACTTAACCTTTGATGTTTTCTGTTTGACTTAACCCACATTGTTTTCTGTTTGACTTAACCCACATTGTTTTCTGTTTGACTTAACCCACTTTGTTCTCTGTTTGACTTGACCCACATTGTTTTCTGTTTGACTTAACCCACATTGTTCTCTGTTTGACTTAACCCACATTGTTTTCTTTTTGACTTAACCCACCTTGTTCTCTGTTTAACTTAACCCACATTGTTCTCTGTTTGACTTAACCCACATTGTTTTCTGTTTGACTTAACCCACTTTGTTTTCTGTTTGACTTAACCCACATTGTTTTCTGTTTGACTTAACCTTTGAAGTTTTCTGTTTGACTTAACCCACAATGTTTTCTTTTTGACTTAACCCACATTGTTCTCTGTTTGACTTAACCCACATTGTTTTCTTTTTGACTTAACCCACTTTGTTTTCTGTTTGACTTAACCCACATTGTTTTCCATTTGACTTAACCCACATTGTTTTCTGTTTAACTTAACCCACATTGTTTTCTTTTTGACTTAACCCACATTGTTTTCTGTTTAACTTAACCCACATTGTTCTCTGTTTGACTTAACCCACATGGTTTTCTGTTTAACTTAACCCACATTGTTTTCTGTTTAACTTAACCCACATTGTTTTCTGTTTAACTTAACCCACATTGTTCTCTGTTTGACCTAACTCACATTGTTTTCTGTTTAACTTAACCCACATTGTTTTCTGTTTGACTTAACCCACATTGTTTTCTGTTTAACTTAACCCTTGATGTTTTCTCTTTGACTTAACCCACATTGTTTTCTTTTTGACCTAACCCACTTTGTTTTCTGTTTTACTTAACCCACAGTGTTTTCTGTTTCACTTAACTTACATTGCTTTTGTTTGAATGTTTTACTTCAATTCATGTTTCTATTATCTTTGTTATTATTATTTGTTCTCCGTTTTGGAATTACATTTGATATTTTAAATGCCAAGCAAATACACCAGAAAGATTCTGTCAACATAACAATTACATCAGAAAAAACAAATGGAAGTAACAATTACCTCAGATAGAATGGTTTAAACTAATAATTACTGTTGTTACTTGTTAGTAGTTACTTGTATCAACATCCTAACACATGATTTCTACCCATTTAAACTTCGTCCTATGATGCAGCAGCCATCTCAGTGTCTCCATGCTGAACGCACCCAGATGAATGTGACTGGTATCTCTTCTTTCTCTACCCCGCGGCCAGTTCCTACATGCTTCTCCACATTGAACAGCCATTTTCAACAGGCATTTCTTTGTCTCTGAATCTTTTGTCATGAAGTCTCTAGACTGAAGCACATTCAGTATGTCTTCCCGCTAATCCAGCAACCATTGCAGACACGCCCAATCTGTTGGCTCTTTCGTTTCCTTTCACCCCAGCATATCTTAATATGTACAGCCAACACAGTTTCTTGATGCTGCCAATCCATTTTAGTCAAAGTATGCCAGTTTGGATCTTCTTAAAAATGCTCATTGAATCTGTCAGTATTCATGTATTTGTTACTTTCTGTTCTGCCAGCCACACAAGAGCTGCTATATACAGCAGCTGTCGTCAACCTCATGCTCGAAGTAATTGAACTGAAGGCCTGATTGTCTTCTTTTACTGTCTTCTCATTCACCTTCACTGTTTATGCCCACTCAGTTTGCACTCTAGGAATCCTGAGCCATCTGCATAGTTCAGCATCCGCGGATATTTGGCTCTATTTTCAACAAAACCTGCACAGACTGATTATCACCTCAACAGGCTCCTTCAACTGTTCTAATGTTTCTGTAACTGTCTCAGACAGAACAAGTTAAATTTACTTCATACAGAACAAGTTGAGGTAATAGCTACTTTAGATATGATAAGTTAGAGTAACTATTGTTTCAAACAGAACAAGAATAAATAAAATATGTTTCATATAGAACAAACTAAGGAAATAATTACTGGAGGTAGAACAAATTACAGTAACAAATACTTCTGCTAGAAAAACAAGTTACAGTAACACTTACTTCAGACAGAACAAGTCAGGTGTGTTTTGGTTCAGGTGTGTCCTTTGTTTCTTGTTGTACACTGTGGTATCTAATACCTGCAGTACCTGCAATTTTTTTTCTAAGGCTTTATTTTTTAGCACCACTGTAATAGACACTTTGTGGTAGGTTTTTTTATATTTTTTTATTTTAAGACATGTGGTTGTTCTCCTGTCTTCCTAGCCAAAAAGCCATGGAACAAATTTCAGTTAACAGATGATTGTAACTTAATTCTTTCAGTTCCAGACACACATGGCTTCTATCAAATCTGTAGGCTTCTATTTAATCTGTGGGCTTCTATCCAATCTGTGGGCTTCTATCCACTCTGTGGGCTTCTATCCACTCTGTGGGCTTTTATTTAATCTGTGGGCATCTATCCAATCTGTGGACTTCTATCCAATATGTGGGCTTTTATCCACTCTGTGGGCTTCTATCCAATCTGTGGGCTTCTATCCACTCTGTGGGCTTCTTCCCACTCTGTGGGCTTCTTCCCACTCTGTAAGAAAAAAAAATTTTACTCTAATAAATTTATGTTTTGGCTCAAAATAATTTTGATAGAAAATCTGAAGTAACATAATTTATAACAGATGTAGCAGAGTGAGCTAGCTAGCAACTATATGGGGCACACTGAAAAGTTGAGAAAAAAACATATGGTTTAATTTGAAATTAACAAACTCCTGGTGAATTGCTTGGTAGTGATGAGTTAAAGCATGAATGTTTCATCTTGCCAGGTTTTTGTCACGCTCGAATTGCCCCAGAACAAGCTTGCCCATTTAAAGGGTCATGTGTGGAGCGTGCCGAGTGTGACCAGGCACAGAATGGAACCTGCAAGTGTGTGGATGGATTCTTTCCCGTGAGTAGATCATCCTGATCGTTGAGTCATTCTCTTCACTGGCTGAGAATCTCTGACAGATCGTTAGTCGAGGCTCTGATATTCCTGCACACGAGTTGCCCTATCACTGCTCTGTTCATGTGCCAGTAAATACCATGAGTATCAGAATTCAGCACTGGCTGCTGAGGATGGGGACGGAGAGCATATGGGAATACCCCCAGTGCTTTGATGTCAATTCTTGACTCACCTCAACTCCTGTGCCAGTGGAGAATACACAAAATGTCCTTGACTGTTCCAGTCCAGGTCAGTGTCAGTCCCAGGTCAGTTTCAGTCCCAGGTCAGTGTCAGTCCTAGGTCAGTGTCAGTCCCAGGTCAGTGTCAGTCCTAGGTCAGTGTCAGTCCCAGGTCAGTGTCAGTCCCAGGTCAGTGTCAGTCCCAGGTCAGTGTCAGTCCCAGGTCAGTGTCAGTCCCAGGTCAGTGTCAGTCCCAGGTCAGTGTCAGTCCCAGGTCAGTGTCAGTCCCAGGTCAGTGTCAGTCCCAGGTCAGTGTCAGTCCTAGGTCAGTGTCAGTCCCAGGTCAGTGTCAGTCCCAGGAAAAACATTGAAGCTTGCACATACAAAGTAAAAATGCACAAAGCAGCTATCAGATGTGCAAACAAACGAGCCTACACAAGAATTGCAGCTCAATGTAGACATAGTCAGGGAGTCATGGAAGCTAGCATTGCACCCTTTCTATGGGAAGGTCGTTGGTTGAGGTCCTGACAGCACCTGACGTTTTTTCTTCCAGAAATGACCTTGACTCCCAGGTTGACCCAGTGGGTAGCAGGTGCAGTCCTGGGAAGTAAAGGCAGCCAGCATGATGCTGACCACATCGCCCAGCAAGGGCCGATTGGTTTTTAAAATCTAGGTCTAGCTTAAAGGCATCGTAAATGGTCCTTTTTTTTTTAAATTTAAACTCTATAATGAATAATTGTATCAGTAATAAATATGTGGTCACATATGCCATTGAAATTTGGAGAAACACTTCATTATGGAACAAAAGTTATGTGCATTCAAAAAACAAAAGCTTAAGGAAAATGATGAACATAAAATGGGATGAAGTCAAGAGAAGTGAAGAAATAAGAGATATGTCTGGACAATCACTGGTCAACAATGATAAGACAGAGAAGATGGAGCTTTCTTGAACACATCCTGAGAAAAGGATGTCCAAGAAAAAACTTAATGGGAATGTTGACAGGAGAAGCCAAAGATGCTGGATTCTATCCATGATATCAAATAGATCACACAGGACAGAACAGAATGGAGACATGGGCTATGAGCCCTATGTGACACATAATTGCACATCAGGGCAGTGAATGAATGAATGAATGAATTTTTGAGTGAATAGATATAACTGTGGAACCGACACATACAACTGTGTAAATGATCAATACAACTGTGTAACCCACACATACAACTGTGTAACCCACACATATAACTGTGTAAACCCACATATATAACTGTGTAACCCACATATATAACTGTGTAACCCACATATATAATTGTGTAACCCACACATATAAGTGTAACCCACACATGTAACTGTGTAACCCACATGTATAATTGTGTAACCCACACATATAACTGTGTAACCCACACATATAACATTGTAACAGCTTGAGCTGTGTTTCTGGGATTTGCTCATCATGGATTGATTCTTTTTCTAATAGTGGCTCCTTGAGTTGATGAATGATAATCTTTCAAGATACAATCCTAGAGTAGAATATATATATTTTTAATGTATGTGTGCTTGGAGCTAATCTTCATTTG